AGGTTTTATATCATCAACCGTAGTGCAAAAGATTTGCCGAAAAAGGCTTCCAGTGTCCGTTACGGAGCTGGTGTCCCATCCAAAAGCCTTCGTTGTGCTCTTTTCGCTGAGGAATTTGTAGCCTGCAGAAGTTTAGGTTTTAGGGTTGAGGGTTTAGGGTTTAGGGTGGAACGTGCGTCGGGGGGGTTGAAGGGCTTAGTACTGAATAGAGGGGCCTAAACCATTGGCATGGGGTTTCGGGATCTTTTTTTCCATAGATATAGCAGCAAGCCTAAGGTATATCTAAACCCCAATGCCCAAAGAACCTATGCCCTTTTCATTACTCGTAAAACCTATGCAAGGAAATTACCATGACGAGCCCTAAAGATGTAGGTTTCTTGAGGCTCACTCAACCCTAAACCCTAAATATTACTAAGGATGAAGGCTTTGGGCTGAGGGAGTCGGGTGAAACGTTTGTGGCTAGCATGGCCGAGATAGGCCCAGCTCCTTAGCCCTAGGTTGAGCGGTTTATAGGTTTTTTCTTAAGTGTAATGCGCACCTTTCATAGGGTTTAGGGTTTAGGGTGTAGGGTCATTATGATGATAACGCAGCTGGAACAACCGTTCCCACAGGGTCCAAAGTAGCAGTACGTATAGTATACACTGTTGTGACACACATATTCACTTTAAGAACCTACTATGTTGGTTGTTGCACCCTCTGGGACGATGACGACCTATGTAGGTGTGCCATGTTACGAGAAAGTCGCAGTTGAGCTAAACGGATCAAGCAGTGAGGCCCATGCAAGATCATGATGCTAAACAACACACGAGCGACCGAGACCCCGCTCGTAGTTGTTGTTGTAAGCCCAGGCATCTTCGAACATGCCACTCATGTTCTGCACCGCAGAAGTCGTCCACATGCAGAGGGGCTGGTCGAAGGCGCTGGCACCACAAAACATGTAACCTTGGATTAGAAGCACTCCCCTCCACAGAGGGCTCAGGCGCACGAAGTACGGATTACATGTGTTTGCGTGTATATATATATATATGTGTCTTGACCCTATAAACCCTAAACCCTACATTCCTTGACTCTAGGCTCTGATCTCTCATGCCAGCTGATATGCTCGCAGCCTTGACAACTGACCTAAAGCAGTCAGAATTCAATCCCGCTCAGCATCAAAAGGATACCAGACCGCCGGGAGGAGCTGAAAAGTAAAATTCCCCGAATTTGGGAGCCTACCTACTAAAGGGTACTTTATAGGAACCCCCTTAAGGGATCTACGTTTTGGATCCTCCCGCAGGTCTAGGATACCCTAAACGCTAAACCCCTAAACCCCTAAACCGTAAACCCTAAACCCTGAACCCTAAACCCTAAACCCTAAACCCTAAACCCTAAACCCTAAACCCTAAACCCTAAACCAGAAGCCACAACCGACGCCTTTAGTGGCTTCAACCTCCGAGCCAAGATGCTCTAAAGGCGGGTTTAGGGTTTAGGCCTTTAGGGGTTTAGGGTTTAAGGGCTTAGGGTTTAGGGTTTAGGGTCTAGGGTTTTGGTTTTAGGGTTTAGGGCTAAACCCTAAACCCAATCGTGGCCAAGTGGCTCATGTCCGTGACTCTCTGCGTGTTCCATGTGTCCAAGGGCTGGTTGAAGCGATGGGCCCCGTAGAACATGTAGGACATATCCTGGCGACTCCAGAAAGGAAGACATGTCAATTCGGGTTTAGAGTTTGGGGCTTCATTAGGATGTACGACATATCCTGGCGACTCCATGAAACGGCTAAAGTCTGAGAATGTGAAACCGTTACTCCAAAGGGTCCTAAGTACTCTGTAGTCGAATGTAGGGCTTCTTTGGTAAACTATGATTGGGACAGTATCCGCCACGTAAGTACTTGGGATCCTCTCAATACTCCCACAATTGCTACTGCTGCCTCTACCACACGACTGTAACTATGCCTCCCATTGCCGGACATCTTGTTTCAACCGCAAAAGCCATCCCGAAGCTGCAAGTGTAGGGGTGCTGGGGTTTGGAGCGAAATGGCGCGGCCCCCAACCAAACACCGTAAGAGCAGTGGAACGATGAAAGCCCGAAAATCGGCCTAAACCAGACATACCGGGTTCATCATACCTGTCCGACATGGTCTTTCTTCAACCCTTCCAAGTTTCTACTTGAGGGAGGGTTTAGGTGCAAGGCAAGCATCTATCACAGCTGTGGTCACCCATGATCGCAGCGGCTGATTGTATGCTGTGGCATTGTAGAACATGGCTCGCATTGTGGTCACCTTGGCGATTTAGGCTCCTTAATATTTAGACTAGTTCTTCTAGTGTACCTTACACTCTGACTATAGAGGGGCTGTAAGGGGGCACTATTACTATTTCTATTCCGACAGCTAAATGGGGGTTTCCGAAATTAGGGGACCCTAATATAGTACCCTAAATAGTAGGATCCTTTTTATAAGGACCCCAAAATAAGGTACCCCTTATTTTCGGAAACTCCCATATGATAATACAAAGGATGCGGGAAGCCTAGGGGGCGAGGGGCCGTAGAGGAGGCCGCAAGCCTAGCTGTAGGGTCTCTTAGCAGTAGGGTTTAGGGTTCAGGGTTGAGGGTTTAGGGTTTAGCTTACTTACCTGAACCCCAACGAACCTAGCTTTTTGGAGCCCGAAGATAGGTTTCGCGGGATCCAGGTAGGGCTCAGGCCCTAAACCCTAAACCCTCCTAAGCCCTCAAACTTCGCCTCGAACCCAAACATCAAAGTCCCAAACCCACCCTGAACCCCGGAACTACAACAACCCCCCTACCATGCATGCAACCACATTCCCATATCCAAAAGCCCTAAACCGAAACCCTTTGTATGTATATAGGATAGCTAGCTGCTAGCTAGATATAGATAGATAGATAGATAGATAGATAGATAGTTAGATAGATAGATAGGTAGATAGATAGATAGACAGATGGACAGATAGATAGAGAGATATCTAAAAAGCTAGATAGCTAGATAGAAAGATAGATAGGTAGGTGGGTAGATAGATATAATATGCTTTGTCAGCATCGGTACTAGTCGTTCATTTGTGTTGCACACACATGAGCCGAGTGTCCTTCGAGGTGGACCATGAGCTGAGAGATCGGTTGAAGGAAGAGGCACCTGCAGCTGGGAGCTCACGGATTGGAGTGCGGGAGGAAACAAAATTCGGAATTGATAAATGTGTGTATATAAATATATACACATACATGTACAACAATGTATGCATACACATATATATATATATACATACATACATACATATATATATATATATAAATATGCATATGCAGGTATAGGTATTGCCATGTTCGACAAGAACTCTAGAAACAAACACGGGTGTGTCTATGTCTACAGACATGCACACGTATTGTCAACATGCATACATATAAAACGTACAGACGTACTCTCATGTTGACGCCCGTGTGCATGTGTGTGCGTATGTGTATATACATATATATATATATATATGTATAAATACACCTGTACAAAATATATATATATATATATATATATTTATATACATACATAATAATGTACTATGTATTTATGCATAGAGAGAGCTCAGGCTGCTCAGTGTGTAAGGGTCTGGACGTGTTACTACACGTGCATCGGCCGCAAGGGGCTTTACAGGTTGGGGCTTCGTTTAGTGGGCTTAGGGTTTAGGGTTTAGGGTTGGCCTCAGAGGACAACAGGGCTGACGAGCTCCTAAACGCTAAATCCTGGACCCCAAACCCTGTAAACTCTAAACCCCAAACCCTAAACCCTAAGATAGCCCGACGCCATCACGGGATCCAGACGTCTCCAAAGGCAAGTGCACTTCGGAATTCAGGAACGATTTAGTGCTTAGGGTTTTGGGGGGGGTTCAGAACTTTCGGGTGTAGGGTGGACTGACCAGTCAGAGGGGGTGTGACTGTCTGATAGATCCCTAACCCTAAGGGTCCATGTACCCAAATAGTATGTACTTTGGCCTTAAAGTAGTCCCTATATAGGTACATTGGGGCCAAAGCATGTACTATTTGGGTACATGGACCCTTAGGGTAAACCCAAAACCCTAAACCCAATGTTGGGGCCATGTGGGTGTAGGAGCTTCGCAAAATTCAAGGGGCAGAGTGCTTCCAGGATCAAGATTATGGACGGTCCACGGCTTTAGGGCTTGAGGGGTTTAGGGTTTAGGGTTTAGGGGGTGTTTGGTTGCTAAGGGTGTATAGTGTAGGCCGTTTTGAGGCATTGAAGCTGCAAAAACAGGGAGCCCAATCCTTACTAACCCTAACCCTCCAAAAGCCTCTGCTTGAGGGGGGTATACATGTAATAAAAGGGGTCATAACCTCCTAATATCGGGGCCTTAATAATTAGAGCAAGGTTTTGGGGCCCATTATACTAGAATTAGAATAAGGACCAAAGTAGTATAGGTAATACTTTATATAGGCCCCTACATTATTTTGTTGGGTTCGGGGATACCCCGAACTAGAACCTCTGCGAAAATTTACCCAAAAGGTCCCAAGTACCTATATAGTAAAATGCAGGGTTCCTTTAACTTTAGGGGTTTCGGGGTTCTTAAGTACCTATATAGTAGCAGAATGTAGGGTTTCCATGTCAGGAATCCTCATTAGCATTTGGGAAAGTATCCACCTTAACAGTACCTAGGACCCTCTGGGTTAGGAGCAAGCATCATGATCATCAGCATAGATTAGCGCAACGCTACGCGGAACATTCACAGTGTGTTAAAAACTGGCAGATACTTTAGGTCACAAGAGGAAAGAAAACAGGAAATTAGACCTACATATTGTGTCCACAAGCCCTTCACATTTTAAGGAAATTATCGGCTAAGACATTGGACTGCTCCTGACTTAAAAGGCAATGTTGCCATGTCCCAGGACCCTGAACCTCAACCCTGAAAACCTCAACCCCGTAAACCTTGAAGCCTACCAGGACCACTCAAGTTCTCTTTATTAGAGCTCTTATGGTCTTTAACAGTGGGTACTTAAGCTATACTTAGAGGGTGGTTTCGGGGCCCTAAACCCTAAACCCAAAACCCGAACCCCAAATCCGCAACACCCAAACCCTAAACTCCAGTAGCCCCTACATGTATCGGAACCCTAACAGGGAACCCTGAAAGGAAGCCTTAAAGGAAGGATTAATTAAAGAAGCCCTGCACGGAACCCTTGCAGGAACCAAAACCCTAAACCTTATAAGCCCTTAAGGTGTAGAGTTTAGGGTTTTGGGTTTGGGGTCCTGCGCCCTAAACCCTGAAACCTAAACCCCAGCCAGCCCTCTCCAGTGAAAATGCCTGCGAAGAGAAAGCTCCTCGGCTCGTCGTTGTGAGTTTTTCCACTTTGGGTTTAGCTAGGGTTTAGGGTTTGGGGTTTAGGGTTGTTTCAGGGTTAACAGGGTTTAGGGGTGAGGGTTTTAGGGCTTCGGGTTTATTAGGGTTTAGGGTTCAGGGGCTTCAGGCGTTCAGAATCTTGGGCTGGGGGTATGGGGCTTCGAAGTTTCAGGGTGCCTCCTTCAGGGTTCCTTTGGGGGTATCTTGTCAGGTTCCTTGTCGGGGTCCTTGCTAGGGTTTCCGGCTTCAGGGTTTAGGGTTTAGGGTACCCAACTCAAGACCGCTCCTTCAGCACTTAGGGTTCATGGTTTAAACTATAGGGTTTGGGGCTTATAGGTTTCACTACTACGCACTTCGAATGACCGATGCTGCGCTCCGCGCAATTGAGAAACAACTAAACCCCCAAACCAGCCAGCAACCCCAACAAACCATACCCTCCAAACCCGTCCTAAGTACCTACACCGTGAAGTTCCTACATTAGGACTCACTATTACGATACTTTCCCAAGCCTAAACCCTAATAAACCCTAAACTCTAAACCCGAAGCCCTAAACCTTAAACCCCCTAAACTCCAAACCCTAAACCCTAAACCCCCTAACCTCTAAACCCTAAACCCTCAACCCTCAACCCTAATCCCTAAACCCTTAACCCTCAACCCTCAACCCTAAACCCTAAACCTCAGAAAGAAGCCTCAGAGCTCAGGTCTAAATCCTTTGGACCGCACACCAAAGACCACGCTCCGCAAGCTCAGCAACGGCTCCAAAAGACCCTGTACCCCAAGGGTCCAAGGTACCTATAATCAAAGGGTCTCAAGTACCTACTATGGGTTCCTTTAAGGGCTCCTGTAAAGGCTTCGGGGATTCTTAAGTACCTATATAGTAGAATGTAGGCTTTCTGCATTAGGAATCCTTATTCTAATTTGGGAAAGTTACCGAGGACCCTGTGGCATAGGGTTTAAGGTCTTGAAGACAGGGGTGCTGGGCAGCTGGATGGCAAAGCCACTGTAGTGAGGAGCTAGGGTTTAGGGTTTAGGGTTTAGGGTTTAGGGGTTAGGGTTTAGGGTTTAGGGTTCAGGGTTATGGTTTTAGGGAACTGAACGGCGAAGGACTTCTTGAGGTAGTCCGGGTGGCAGAAGCACTGCTCCAAATATTTGGCGACAAGCTGAAGGAGATACGGCAGGCGTGCGGGGTTTGGGGTTTAGGGTTTATAGGGTTTAGGGTTTAGGGCTTAGGGTTTATAGGGTTTATAGGGTTGAGGGTTTAGGGCTTATAGGGTTTGGGGCTTAGGGTTTAGGGTTTATAGGGTTTGGGGCTTAGGGCTTAGGGTTTATAGGGTTTAGGGCTTAGGGTTTAGGGTTTATAGGGTTTATAGGGTTTAGGTCCGTCACGCAAAAGACTGATTTCATTCAGCAGGAAATTTGGTTCCCTCTCTGTCGAACACACTCACTGCTTGTGCTCGCACGTCGGAATGGGGTCGCGGCAACTGGCATATCTAGGTCGTCCAAAGACGTTGGCACATCTTCTTTATCGCCTACAAACTTGGTTGCTTCCTGATGCAACCATGTGTCGAAACACTCGCGAAGCTTGCGCAGCGTGGGATAGAAGTTCTCTCTTTGCAAGATCACGGCTGTCACGGAAGTTTAGGGTTTAGGGTTTGGGTTTTAGGGTTTAGGGTCTATGACGTAGGGCTGTAGGGTCCTAAACTCCTAAACTGTAAACCTGAAGAAACTCAACAAACGTAATCTTTTTCGTGCGCCCTTATAAATAGTAACCCTCATCAGTCCCAAACCTCTTGGCAAGCCCTAAATCATCCAGCCTTCACCTCGGGCTCATAGTGATCCTCTTCAAATCCAAAACCCCTAAAACCGGATAGCAACCCTTGACTGCAAGTGTAGCCTTTTAACAAGCCCTAACATAAGGGCCTTAATAATTAGAATAGGGTTTTGGAACCCATTATATTAGACTTATAATAAGATCGCCCAAAATAGTATAGGTAGTTTTTTAGGCCCCTATATTAAACCCTAAACCCTAAATCCCAAATCGAAAGCCTTCGGCCGGGGCTCATATCGGTCACTTGCGATGTCTGCCAGGCCGTCAAATCCTCGTTGAAGCTCTCCAGGCCAGCGAAGACTCCTCGGCTACGGGGGGTTTAGGGTTTAGGGTTTAGGATTTAGGGTTCAGGGTTTAGGGTTGGCTACGAAGGTTCCCAGACCGTCCAAAAGTCCCTTATGAATTAAGGAAGATACCGCACGAATCTGGGGGATCCTTCTATAACTTAAGGGTATACTCCTTAAGGACGATACCTCAAATTATGTTTGGGGGTCCTGCTACAATTTAGGGCTTCTTCATTTATTTACTGGATTTTGAAAGGGCTGGGTTCTCTTGCGAAGGTTCTCTTTAGGTTACTGCTGCGTTAGGCAACGGTGTGGTGATTGATGTTGATATCAAAATGATGTGGGTCTTCGAGGAGCAAGGTATATGATCCGATATGATCTGTTATAGATATAGATTTTGGTATAGGTATCAATATAGATTTAGATGTGGCAGATGAGCTAAGTACCTACGCTGAGTGTGGTATCGGTATACTGCAAACAACATATTATGTGTATGTATATATATATATATATATGCATGTGTATGCATGGTCGCCGGGTAGCAGGCGGTAGGTAGGTAGGTCGGCAAGTACGCAGGCCGGCAGGCAGGCAGGCAGGCAGGTGGTAGGTAGGCAGGCAGGCAGGGAGGTTGGTTAGTATGTGGCGGTAGGTAGGCAGGGAGGTTTAGGTAGGAAATGCACCTAGGTATGTACATGTTTACAAATGCATGTAAGACTGCATGTGTATTACATTTGTATAAATAAATAAATATATATATATATATATATGATGTACGTACGTATCCACGCATGCACATGTGATCCTGTATGTAGATGTGAATGCATGCATGTGTATGTACGAACATACATAAGAAGTAAACATGCCCAGGCAGTAAACGGTCAGAAAGGGATTTAGGCACACTGTGCATTGCATAGAGAACTCTGAAAATCGTGCGTCTGGAAATACATTTATCATTCTGTTGATGTTCGCCTACACCGAAGAAATTCAATACCCAAGCAGAACCAGCTGTTCCCATCCAAGCAGCCACTCATGTTGGACATGGCAGAGATGTCCCATTCTGAGATGTTGCCAAATTCCTTGGCTTCGGGCGGGCACACCCTAACCCTCAGAGTCGGTGCTAGCCAAGATGTAACGTCCTCCAGATAGCTCCTAAAACTTGGCCCTAACCCCTAAACACCAAAACCTAAACCCTAACTGCAAAAAAAAACATGTGTCGCAACAAGGACGAAGAGTCATTGGTCAACTCTGTCCTGCATGGAGGGGTGGTGACATTTGGTTCGCCTCTTAACCTTAGAATTGTAGGAACCCTGAGCCCGCTGCCCTTCCTGTCCCTGCTCGAATCTTGCCCGAAACCCTACTTAAAGGATCACGGGACTTAGCAATTAGGGTTATAGGGTTTAGGGTTATAAATGAAATAACTAAAGTTAGAAGTAGTTATAACTCCCATTAAGGTACTTATAACCTTACTTACTAAGTCCCATGATCCTCCAAGCAGGCTAACTACTCAATCCCCTATAACCCTCGAAACCCCAAACTCCCCCAAGACATGGCTCTTTGGATGAGAATCCAGAATCCCCGACTTGAACCAAAAGATCTTCCACCTCACCCTGGACCTGACGCCGTCTGGCATCAAAAACCACGAAGGCTAAGCATTGCGGGGTTTAGTTTAGGGTTGAGGGTTTAGGGTTGAGGATTTTCCTCCTGCCGGTTTTCCCGAAAGCAAGGACGCCAGGGTTGGCTGAGGCGGATCGATGCTCAGGGCTTAGTTTTTGCGTTCTGAGTTGCTGCTAGGTCCGCAGGGTCCGCGATTGAATTTGCGTGCATCAGTGAGCATTGGAAACGGGACCCAGGTTTTTCTTGACAAGAGTCGGAATAATTCAAACACCGTTCCTTAGGGTGCTTCATATCAGAATAAACGCAAGAAGTCTAATCTGATTTTAAATGTCCCTACGATAGAACCCTTATGTAGATTTCCTTATTAGAGGGCCCTTCAGGCCTAAAGCCTTCAAGGAACCTGCCAGAGAACCCCATTCGACTTATCTGAGCCCCCTACGAAAATGTTATACCCTAAACCCTAAACCCCAAAGCCAGAAACCCAACACCATGAATCCAATACCCGAAATCCTACACCCCCAAACCATAAACCCAACACCATAAATCCAATACCCGAAATCCTACACCCCCAAACCATAAACCCAACACCATGAATCCAATACCCGAAATCCTACACCCCAAAGCCATAAACCCAACACCATAAATCCAATACTCGAAATCCTAAAGCCCAAAGCCATAAACCCAAAACCGTAAACTCTAAACCCTAAACCATAACAAAGGGGCCTTAGTAATTAGAATATGGTTTGGGGGCTCCTGATTCTAACTATAGTATAATATATCCCAAAACACTAGTCTAATTATTACCCTAAACCCTAGAGCCCTAAACCCAAAGCCATACACCCAAAACCCTAAACCCTAAAGCCCTAAACCCCAGAGCCCTAAACCCTAAAGCCCCAAATCCTAAACCCTTGACCCCAAAGCCATAAATCCTAAACCCGTAAAGCCCGCCTCGCGGACACGTTCCTTTCCCAGGTCACAACGGCCTCCCGAAGTTGCGACCTGCCAAAACTCAGCAGCAAAGCGGTTTAGGACTTTGTGTTTAGGGCTGAAGGGTGTAGGGTTTAGGGTTTAGGGCTGAAGGGTTTAGGGTTTAGGGCTGAAGGGTTTCGGGGTTTGGGGCTGAAGGGTTTCAGGGTTTAGGGCTGAAGGATTTTAGGGTTTAGGGCTGAAGGGCTTTAGTGTGTAGAGGTTTAGAAGTTTAGGGCTGAAGGGGTTGGTTCGACTCGGGGCTCGCGGCTTCTACTTTTGATCCCGAAACCAAACTTGTAACCACGATAGACCCCCGATCCCAAAGTTTAGGGTTTGGGGTTTAGGGTTTACGGAAGTTAGTTCGATACACAACCCCTTATAAACCCGAAAAGCCTTCGGAGCCCAACATGCCCCAAACCCTAACACCCTGAAGCCCTAACACCCTAAACCCCAACACCCCAACACCCCAACACCCTAACACCCTAAACCCTAAACCCTAAACCCTAAACCCTAAACCCTGACACCCTAAACCCTAACACCCTTAACCCTAACACCCTGAAGCCCCAAACCATCCCACAACCTAACGCCGCCCCAACACACAAACCCGAGAAGGGCTAAAGAAGCCTGAACAAATACCAATAGTATTCCTTATCGTTCTAGTTTAATGGTTTAGGGTTCACCCTAAGGGTCCAAGTACCCAAATAGTAGGGTTTCAAGGTCCAGAAACCATTCAGAGTATGGAGTTTGGGACCTAAAACCTTACTATCTGGGTACTCGGACCCTCTGGGTCAGGGTTTATAAACCCTAACGCTCTTTTTGGGTAGGGGTCGTCAATGGAAGAAGGGCCCTCGGGATCGATTTGCCCAGGGGTCTCTCAAGGGTCCTGAGGGCCCACGTAATCAAGGACCCACTTTTGGGCTGTTTAAGGTTTAGGGTTTAGGGTTTAGGGTTTCCCTCGTGGTGAGGCCCCTGGCAGTGCACTTTTGGCCTCCATAATTCAAGTCAATCGGTTTTAGTATGATATACTCCACAAGGGCTGTATATAAAATCCCCAAGCGCTCATGGCACCCCTTCCTGTTGCAGGGGGGCCTCTCCAGGAAACTTCGTCGTCCAAGCACCTGTCCCGGGAGGGGGGGTTAGGTTTCAGGTTTGGGTTTAGGGTTTAGGGTTTAGGGTTTAGGGTTTAGGGTTTAGGGTTTAGGGTTTAGGGGTTAGGTTTCAGGTTTGGGTTTGGTGTTCGAGGCTCAATTTTTGTAGGGGTTGAAGGCTTGAAGCGATTTTGTGTCTAAACCCTAGACCTTAAACCTCTCAACCCTATAAAGCCTAAGCCCTAAACCCTATAAACCCTAAGCCCTAAACCCTAAACTCCTAAACCCTAAAGGCAACTTTCGGGCTTAAGGGCAAAAGGGCTTGGGATTGGGGGTCCGACTTCAGGCCTTGGGTTCGGGATATGTTTCGGGTTTAGGGTGTCTACAGGGTTTAGGGTTCAGGGTGTAGGGTTTAGGGTTTAGGGTTCAGGCTTTAGGGTTTAGGGTTCAGGGTTTAGGGGTTCAGGTTTAGGGTTTAGGGTCCTGGGCTTCAGAAAAAATTTAGGGGCTTTCAGGGTCTTGTGGGGTTTGCGATGTTCCTGGCTGGTAAATACGCATATCAGGAATCCGCAAAGAAAGGGCAACGCATGAAGAAAGCTTGGGTGTTGGCTTGAGGCTTTCAGGGTGGATAGGGTTTAGGGTTTAGGGTTTAGGGTTTAGATTCGTTGCAAGCCGGTCATCGGGTTTAGGGCCTACCTGTGGCCGAAAAGACCTACCCTTGTAAGGTTCCTTCTTATGGTTTCTATACATAGCTCCTTATAAAGGTAGGTCTTTTGGGCCACGGGTA